GGGTGGTTTGAAAGGTAAAATTGGACAACAAAATCTAATATCTCGAGTTTGAGTCATTCTAAATGAGTATTAGAGATTTGTCCGGTCATTAATTTCGGAATCTTAGATTAGTTAAGGTACGTACAAGCTCACTCAAACTCCTGATTATTAAAAAAAATAATAATAATTATTGCCATTCAGCTTGATCTAAAATGGGGTGCTATAGTGTGGGTCTTTCGTGTGTCATCTTATAACTTTTTTCATGTGTATGGGACTTAATATTGCAAGAGGAACCACACAAAGTTCATTTTATGGGGCATAACTGGTGCGGTGCCTCTCTCTTTTTCTGAGTTATTTTCATTTACATCTTTCTGTATTTATGATATGATTCATTTATGTTCTTTGTTGGTCACAGATCCACAAAATCCTTTATACATGAAATTTAATTTTTCTATCCCTAGTTCTTTAGAAGTAAGGAAAATTCTAAACTAGTAGGACAGGGAAAAAATATTGTATTATAGATAAAATATTTTGTGTGGAGGCGGAAATGGAACACTCCTTCGGTCCAAATAAGCCTTTGATCTTCCAACTGTCACCTGAAATAGAAATAAAACTCTGGACGGTGGTGCTAGAATTAGCACTCCGACGAACAAGTTAACCTTTGTATAAGGGTTGGTCTTTTTAGGTTTCTTGGGGTTCAAGTTTTTTAGCACATACTTGTTTCCACAACCTTTCTTCTCTTTTTATAGAGTCACCGTTTTCGAACCCTGTTCCAGGCAGCTTATCATTCCATCATTACTCTATCTGGGCCCACTCCCCTACAACACTTCCTTGAAAGGGACATTCTGATCTTGATCCCAACTAATAGGTCAATGCCGATTCTCCCAACACATTTGGATCCGTTTATTAGGGATAACTATTTGGCACTCCTTCATATTCGGCAATGGCATAGTCTAATGGGCCTTGACCTTGCTTGACCCATATTTAGATAGGCTTGGAAACTCTGTTTGCTGTTTGGATTTATTAGCTTTGTTCGGCCCCTACAATTGCCCCCGAGCTCCAGACCAGCTCATGATGGGTAGTGTACTCGGCTTCATATTGAGGTCGTATTCATGGATTCCGATTAATCGTACTTTGTGCCTAGAAATTCGGATGCGTAATGGACAGGCTATTTGATTTCTGACACGTCAGATAGGATGCGATGTGAGATGATTGCGGTTTCCTGCCTCTTCGTGATTTTCATTCCTTTAATGCGATTTGAAAACCTCTCGCCTTTCCGTTTCCAAAGGGATTTTTATGCTAGCATCCTCTTACCTTTCCATCTTCGACTTTTAGCTCCTGATTGCTCTGCTTCCTCTGCTTTCTCTTTCTTTTGTTCACAAGTTTCCTTTGCTTCAATCTATAAGTCCTCCTAGTCCTAACTCTTTATTTCATTTTTTTGTCTTTTTCCTTATCTTTCACGCAATTCAGGTTTGCCATTATTCCTATTACCTTCTCCTTTTACTTTTTACGCTTTATTCTGACTCTATGGCCAACCACCTGAAAGCCCTACTGTCTGAGGACAGGGTCGTCACTTTCTGTCGTCACTTCTCAATCCCTAACATTGTCCAATTGGCCCTCGTTAAGGATAGGAATATGGACATGGAGACGGCCAACGCTAATACCATTGTCTTCTCCCTACTGGCAATTGCTAAGGGTAGAGTTCATTTCCCTCTCCATCGTTTTCTTAGGTCCGTCCTCAACTATTGAGGCCTTATCCTTCTCAGCCCAATGTAAACTTTTATAGAATAGTGATGGGCATAGTAGAGTTGAACCAAGGACTAAACCTGAACCTAGGGATTTCTGCCATTCGGCATTGTTACTCCCTTGCAAAATCTTCCGGTCGGTAAGGGTATTGCTTTTTTAGAGCAAAAGATATCGATCACAACTTAGTAACCATGCTTGCTAGCTCTGGTAACACAATCTTGCTCAAGGGATATTTGGGATTGGTATTAAAACCAAACAAGCGGTAATCGGCGGGCATGTGATCCGCATCCTTAAAGCCGAGTTTGAGAAACGTTTTATAGTACATTATCTCGGATGTACTCTCCTGGTCAATCAGGATACGTCCAACGACGAACTTGTTTACTAGCAAGTTGATCATGAAGGCATCGTCATGAAGCATAGTGACCCCTTCAAGATCAACGTCGGAGAAGCTAATTTCGTTTGACATTCACTACCGTTTGGATGACATACTGAGCTCAAAACTGAGTTGGGCAGTTTGTTACTACTGGATCGTATTCACCCTATTCGGCAGGAGTAAGCTACATATCACATGAATCACCCCGAGTGGAGGTGAATTAGGACGTATAGCGAGCACACCTGGTGGGTCAGCCTTCTTTAGGAGGTATTCAGTTAACTGGCTACCTTGGATCAAATCTTCCAAATGATCCTTTAAGACATAACATTTATCAGTTATGTGCCCATGGTCTATATGATAGTCGCATTTCAAGTTTCTTCGTCTCATGTTAGGCGGCCCAGCTATCTTAGTTTGCCATTTGAAGGAGGCTAGATGCTTGATCTTTGAGAGAATTTTACTGATCCGCTCAGTCAATTCTCTGTATTTCTTAGTTGACCGCCTAGAGTGCCTGCTTTCTACTTGGTATTGTTTGTTTTGTCAGTACGAATCTCGACGGTTCTTCTTTCTTAATTAGCCTCTTGGCTCTAGGCTCATCTTGGGAGGGGTTCTGTCTGGTGGTGCAATAGTAAGTGACTGTACTAGGATAGGTGTTGTCGTTTCTGCAGCTTGCAGTCTGGTTTTAACTCGCATTGTATCGTCTTCTACTTTGCAGTATTCTTCTACCTTCTTCATCAAGGCCCAAACTGTCTTAGGAGGCTTTTGAGTCAGCGAACTTTTGAGTGAGCTGTCAGGATGTAGTCTCATCTTGAAGGTTGTGATTGCCATTGAGTCGTTGCAATCGTCATCTACTAGATTAAAACACTCCTAATAGTGCGTCGAATATTCGTGCAAGGTTTCTTTGGTCTTGATTTTCATTGCTCATAGCGAGTCTGCTTGTTTTGGCTGAGTTTCATTGGATATAAACCTGGCCTTGAAGGATTTTTGAAGTTGATGAAAACTTTTAATTGAAGCCGGCTCGAGCTTATAGTATCACCTGACAGCGAATGATCCCAGACTGCTAGGGAATATTCGGTACATAAGTGCCTCGTCGTCTGTATGTAATGTCATTGCTTGTTTGTAATAACGAACATGATCTGTGGGGTCTGAGTTACAATCACAAAGAGTAAACAATAGAGCCTTAAACTTTTTAGGAAAGGTCGCATTGGCTATATGTCGTATCAAAGGATCGTGTTTGTCCTCTGAGTGTGAGTCATCGTCTCTTGTTTTTTCGTCTATGACACTCTTGCGGGGGGCTTCCCCCATCTAACAAGCTAGATGCGTCTCCTCGGGCTTGTTTTCTAGGTTCTTCCCAAGAGGAATTTGATGTACTGCTGCCATGCCTCTGAGGTTGACGTTGTCGCCTCTTTTGGACTCTTAGTGATCGATCATGCTCGTGGGAAGGTAGTAATTGTTAGGACTTTACCAACTCTTGACGTAGTCGCTCGTTTTCCACTACCATGTTTTTGAGACGTTGCTCACTATGTTACATTCGACCCATCAACATTTACATAGCATCCTCTGTGGATGTCGAATACTGAAATAGAGTTAGCAGGTTAAAATTTAGAGACCTCCTTGTGGGGGTTTCTTCTGGAAACTGCTCCTGTTGTGGTGTTATCGACTGTTAGGGGAACCTGGTTTAGGCTTGCCATGGATGAGTTTGAGTGTTTCCACAAACGGTGCCAATTATGTGGAGGTGGAAATGGAACACTCATTTGGTCTAAACAAGCCTTTGATCTTCTAGCTGTTATCTAAAATAGAAATAAAACTTCAGACGGTGGTGCTAGAATTAGCACTCCGATGGACAAATTAGTCCTTGTATAAGGGTTAGTCTTTTTAGGTTTCTTGGGGTTCAAGTTTTTTAGCACATACTTGTTTCTACAGCCTCTCTCCTCATTTTATAGAGTCACCCTTCTTGAGCCCTATTCCAGGCAACTTATCATTCCATCATTACTATGTCTAGGTTAACCCCCTACCATATTTCCTTGAAAGGGACATTCTGGTCCCAGCTAATGGGTCAATGTCGATTCTCTCATCACATTCAGCTCTGTTTATTAGAGATAACTATTTGGTGCTCCTCCATATTCGACAATGGCATAGTCCAATGGGCCTTGACCTTACTCGACCCATATTTAGAATGGCTTGAAAACTCTATTTGTTGTTTGGATTTATAATCTTTGTTCAGCCCGCACATATTCTTAGTATAACTCTCACACAAGGACTCACACTAAACATAAGACTAACTTGTACCATGCACATAGAAAATATACTACAATAAAATTTTTACCGTCCCACTAATTCATAATTTTTCCTTATACATGTGGTGTTAAATAAGATCAAGCATGGATTTGAGCTCAAATATTACATCTCTTCCAGTGTTCTTATCATGTGTGTGGTGGAGGCCATCCAAGTCTTCCACACGATCCACAAATCACTAATTATGAAAGTCACCCTAAGATGTTAAATATGTGCAAAATACTAGATGTATAGAATTAGCTCACAAAAAAGTATTTAGAATTAGTTCATCCTATGGATTTGACATTTTTGAAATGTTTAAACTTAAAGTCTGCCTAGAATCCTTTGAGTTTAAACATTTAACTAAAAAAGTTACAAGTATGAGTAAATTCACATCCATTTATATTGAACAAGTGGTTGGTGGATCCAAGCTTTTAAATATTGTTTGATATCTACCGTTTTCGCCATACCTATTTTGGTTTTTTTTTTTCCGTTTCAATTCAAATACTAATACATTCTATATATTAGTTGGAAAATGTGGGTATTGATTTCCTACCACACAATTAAATAGGGAATTTAGCTGGAAAGCACGCGGCCAAATAGATTGAACCAACCACCTGCTAATAAGAAGATGAAAATATCGCGGTGGTTCGCCCACCCAGGAACACTCCGACGATCAAGTCAATCAAGTTATCTCAAAGATAGCAGACAAATATACAATTCACATTCAAAAATATTACCAATAAAAACATACCATGTCAATGTTCATGCTCCAAATGAAGTTTATGAGAGAAGTAGATTCTGGAATATGCTGTACGGGTTAAGATCTAGCTTCTGTAATCCCTGGTGTCTAGCTGGTGATTTTAATGAGATACAAAATCTTGGGGAAATAAGGGGATGTTCTAGAAGAGATAGAGGGATAAAAGAGTTTAATCTATTTATAGAAAATATAGAGCTTCTTGATTTACCCATGTTGGGAAGACAGTTCACGTGGTGCAATTCTAATGAAGGAGAAAGATGGAGTAGAATTGACAGAGTACTTATGTCAATGGAGTGGCTAGAAAGGTTGAAATTAAAGTTATGGGGTTTAGAGAGAAGTGTTCTAGATTATTGCCCCTTGTTACTGGTTAAAGATGGCAGGGATTGGGGTCCAAGACCATTCCATTTCATAAACGCTTGGACTCTACATCTGAAATTTGGAGAAATTGTGAAGAAGTCTTGGGATGATTCTGCAATTACTGGCTGGGCAGGTTTTGTTATTATGAATAAGCTGAAGGTTCTATGTTCAGTTTTGAAAAAATGGAATGTGGAGGTCTTTGGCAATGTTACTCATTCATTAAAAGCAGTGGAGGAGGAGCTCCATGCCATTGATCTAGTGGCTAAATCTAGAAGTCTTATAGAGAATGAGGTTAAAAGAATGAGAGAAGTTCGAAAGGAAGTATGGTCATTAAGTAGGAGAGAAGAATGGTTATGAAGGCAAAAGTCTAGAGTTAATTGGAGTTTAAAAGGAGACAAGAATACAAGATTCTTTCATGTCATAACTACAAGCAGGAAAAATAGAAATATGATGAATTCAATTGAAGTGGATGAGGAGATTCATAAGAATCCACAAAAGGTCAAACATGAGGTAGCTAAATACTTTAGAAGCAGGTTCTCTGAGGAGTGGAAATTTCGACCTAAACTCCAAGGTGTCTTCAAGTCCATTGGTCAAGATAATGATTCTAATGGGCTGGTCACTCCTTTTTCAGAGGAGGAGATTTGGAGAGCTGTTAGAGAGAGTGATGGAAATAAGGCACCAGGACCTGATGGTTTCAACCCGTCTTGCTTTCAAAAGTGTTGGAAAGTGTTTAAAAAGGATATCTTGCAATTCTTCAAGGAATTCTATGATAATGGATGTTTGGCGAAAGGTATCAATAGTTCTTTCATCACATTAGTACCTAAGAATGAGAATCCAAGTGGTGTTTCAGATTATAGACCAATTAGCCTTATTGGATCTCTGTACAAAATTCTGTCTAAGGTTCTAGCTTTTAGACTTAAGAAGGTACTGCCTAAAATAATTGGAGAATCTCAGTCCGCTTTCATTGGGGGGGGGAGGAACATTTTAGATGGGATTTTAGTTGCCAATAAAGTAGTGGATTGGTGGAAGAAGAAAAAAAAGAAGGGGGTAATTTTGAAACTGGATTTTGAAAAAGCATATGATACCTTAAATTAGGAGTATCTCTTTGATATGATGTCAAGCTTTGGCTTCCAAGATAAGTGGATTAGGTGGATGAAGGAGTGTATACAATCAGCTAGAGTTTTAGTTCTTGTTAATGGTTCCCCAACTAATGAATTCTACCCAGAAAAAGCACTCAGACAAGGGGATCCGCTGTCTCCTTTTTTGTTTAATATAGTGGCTGAGGGTTTGAATATATTATTTCAAAGAGCTAAAGCATTGGAGTTAATCAAAGGTGTTGTGATTGGCCTAAGGAAGGTTAATGTCACCCATTTGCAATTTGCAGACGATACAATTGTGTTATGTGAGGCGGGGGAGAATGACATTTTGAATGTTAAGAGAATCTTGAGGTGTTTTGAAGCGCTTTCTGGATTGAAGATTAATTTTCATAAGAGTACAGTTTGTGGAGTAGGTGTACAATAGGCTGATGTAAATATTTTCACAGGAAAATTGAATTGTATAATCTAGAAGTTACCATTCATGTATCTTGGTTTACCACTGGGTGCCAGCTCGAAGAGGAAAAACACATGGTTGCCGGTTATCAATAAATTCAAGTTTAGGCTGGCATCTTGGAAAAGGAAATTACTATCATTTGGAGGTAGGTTAACACTGATCAAAGCAGTGCTATCTTTTTTACCAGTGTACTACCTCTCTTTGTTTAAATTGCCTGCAAGTGTATCAAAATTGCTGGACAAAATTTAGGCCAGGTTTTTGTGGCGAGGTTTAGAACTCAAAAAGAAGCTCCATCTGGTAAAATGGGAGGAGGTTACCAAAACAAAGCACTTGGGTGGTTTGGGGATTAAAAAGTTGAAGGAAGTCAATGATTGTTTACTAGCCAAATGGCGGTAGAGATATGGTGGTGAAGACCGTGTGTTGCGGAAGGACATTTTGATTAGTAAATATGACAGCTTTGGTAGAAGGTGGAGACCAGTTTCTAGTGGCAGTGCCTATTGTTCAAGAGTCTAGACTAATATTCTTAGTTTGGAACACAGCAATACTAACCTATTTTTTTTCTTTATGTATAATTCTATCATTCAAGTAGGAAATGGAATAAGAGTTAGATTTTGGAAGGATAGTTGGGCTACCAACAAATGCTTGAAGGAGGATTTTCCTAGATTATTTGAGTTATCAGTAGAAAAAGAGGTCACTCTTAGGCAGATGATGGATAAAAGAAGTGGCTTGTCTGAATGGAAACTGAGTTTCAAGAGGTCACTCTTAGGCAGATGATGGATAAAAGAAGTGGCTTGTCTGAATGGAAACTGAGTTTCAGAAGGAATCTGAGAGTTTTAGAGGAGGATGAGATGGAAAGAATTCAGTCCCTTTTACTTGCACATGACCCATCTTTATTAGAAAAAGCTGATTCATTGGCTTGGAAGGCATCATCTTCAGGTTTGTTCACAGTTAATTCAATTTATAATAGAAGATGTGTGGCGCAGAGCTTGGGGACATCAAGGCTGCTTTGGAATAATATTTCTCCACCAAAAGTTCAGTTTTTTGGCTGGCTCACTTGGAAGGGTAGAATCAAATCAAGAGCTTTCCTCCAAAGAGTGGGGTGTCTTAGTAATGAGCCTCGATCAAACTGTGTTTTTTGCAGATGTGAGGTGGAATCAGGGTATCATGTTCTGGTGCAGTGCCCTTATGTTTGGAGGATCTGGACAAATTTGCTGAATTGGTAGGGTTTGATTTGGGTGATACCTGAAAAGTTGAAAGGGGTATTGGATTGGTGGAGAGGGTACAAATGGAGAAAGATTGAACAGAAAATCTAGAAGTCAATTCCTTTGGCAGTCCTGTGGTCTGTGTGGAGGCTACGAAATGAGTGTATCTTTCATGAAAAACAACCTATATTGGAGGAGGTTTGTGAGCTGATTAAAACTAGAGTTGCATTGTGGATTATAGCAACCTCTAGTGAGTTCTAATACTCAGTGCATGATGTGGTGGCCAATTTGGAACAGGTAAGACATGCATTACATTGAGGCTGTTTTAGCTGTTGCTGTTATAGTTGCTGATGTAAAGGAATGCTCTTGGTGTGTTATTGCTACTATGGTTGCTGCTGGGTGGAGTTCACAACTAAATGGGGGTTTTATTGTCTGCATTGGTGAGCAAATGGGGGTAAAACATATTAAGAAACTGAAGATGCTTATTACTCTTATCTATTATCTGTGGAGAGCTCCAAACAGGCTTTCTGGGTTGCTCCTGCTGTTGTGTTCTATTGGTGTAGAGGGGTTGCTGATGGTGTTCTGTTTTGGGATGAAGATTGGTTTTTTGGGCTGCCCCTGCTGTTGGCCTGCTGTTGGTGTCATTTTTTTGGTTACTGTTGCTGATTTGGTGTTTTTGTTTCTGATTATGGATGTTGTAATGTTTTGGCTGCAGCTGTTATGGTTGCTGATAGGTGGAGTCCACAGCTAAATGGGGGTTTATATTGTCTATATTGGTGAGAATATTGGGGTTAAAGTATATCAAGAAATTGATATGACTGAGCAAAAAGTTCCAAACAAGTGTTCTGGGTGTCTGGGTGCTCCTACTGCTGGCTGCTGATGGTGTTCTGTTTTGGGATAAGGCTATGGTTGCTGCTAGGGTGTTTTGCTGGGTGGAGTTCACAGCTGTATGGGGTTTATATTGTTTACATTATAGAGCATATTGGGGTAAAGTCATATCAAGAATTTGATGATACTCAATACTCTAATCTACTATCTGTTGAGAGTTCCAAACAAGTGGGTGGGGTTGCTGATGGTGTTCTGTTTTGGGATGAGGTTTGGTTTTTTGGGCTACTCTTGCTGCTGGCCTGCTATTGGTGTTATTTTATTTGATTACTGTTTCCTGTTCTATTGTTTTGTGCTCTTTTCTTTCTTTGGTTTCTTTTGATTAGTTTCTCACCAATGTTGGGTCAAATGCTAGCATGTGATTGTACTTCCTTTGCGGTGCCAACCTAGTTGGGATTGTGAAGGTTAGTTATGATGCTCTGTGCATTTCCCTGCTTGTTAATGTAAAATTTACATGTATTGTGCTTTTTTCATCAATAAAGCTTTGTTTTGCGGATCAAAAAAATAAAAACAAAAACATACTTTAGACCTACGGGTACCTCACTTTTATAATGGTCAGTGTCCAACTTCCCCTAGAAGTCTTACTTCATGGGACTCTATCATTTACAAAAACAACATCTATCACAACTCATACTATTCAGATTAGATGAAAAAGTCACATCTCTATCCAAATAAGTAGTTTATTGTCATCTAGGACTCTTCTATTCGCATATCTCGGATTCCGGTATTACCGACCATATCTCGACACCATGATTCGCCCACGTGGCACCTTGGCTAAAAATTTCGGTGACGTGAACTACCCAAAAAACATGTGCCCATAAAAACTCATCACTCTAATATGATCATATTGTTTAGTCGCCAAAAGTTACGAAATTGGCTACCAAAAACAAAATTAGTCGGCAAAAGTCAAATTTTTAGCTACTAATTTTTTTTAGTAGGGGAATATTGATTATGGGCGACTAAAAAAAATTTAGTAGCTAAAAATATTACAATTGGCGACTAAAAAAAAATTTAGTAGCTAAAAATATCACAATTGGCGACTAAAAGAAATTTAGTCGCCAAAAATGCTAGAAATTGGCGACAAAAAATAAATTTAGTCGCCGTAGGTATGGATTTGGCTACTGAAACCTTTAGTCGGCAAATGTAAAATAAAAAATTAAATTTTATCTTTGGCAACCAAAAGTTTGATCGCCAAAAATTGATTTTTAGCGACGAAAATTAAAAAAAATTATTTTTTACTTTTGGCGACTAAAATTTTAGTCGTCAAAAGTTTATTTTCAGCGACGAAAAATAATTTTAGTCGCCGTAGGTATAGATTTGGCTACTAAAACCTTTAGTTGGCAAATGTAAAATAAAAAATTATTTTTTACCTTTGGCGACCAAAATTTTGGTAGCCAAAAGTTTGTTTTCAGCGACAAAATTTAATTTTAGTCGCCAAAGAAGTAAAATGTTTTGGAGGGAGACCTTTCAAATATTTAGAGGGATTTATAAAATACCTTTACCGACCAATGTCGATAGTCGCCAATAACCATTTATATAAAACATCTCACGGTCTCACCAAACCAAACCCAACCCTGAACAATTAATAGCGCCTCTCTCTCTCTCTCTCTCTCTCTCTTCAACGTCCTTCTCCCTCTCCCTCTCCCTCACCGCCCCTTCTCTCCCCTCCACTCTCACCGTCGCTCCTCCTCGCGTTGGCCGGCAATCGGAGCACCGATT